TTATTGTACCTATTACTGAGGCTTCTATCATTTGTTTTATTATACTTGCTTTTTGTTGAAATTGACAGGGTGCAGGATCGATTTTCTGGTCACGTGATTTCCGAACGTGACTTCTGAAGACCACAGATCACCAGACTACAATACATTACACTAATTTTTTTCTTCGCGATTTGACTCATTCCCTTTGAATACATACTTGAAGTTACAAATTTCTTAGATATTACAGTATTAAAAAAGACCAATGTATCAAAAAAATACGCGCTTATCTATGAACATATTTTGGATAGTTTGCATACAAGCTAAAAAAAAAGCCCTTTATTCAGGTACAGAATGTTCAAGCAATTCATTTGTTTGATACTGATACAAGAAACTTAGAAAGATATTGCTAATTTTTTTATCTAACTACGTGACATTCAATAATAATATATTTATTTGTTACAAATATAAGGTCCAAGGCTTCGAACTACTCCAAGTTGTATCACGAAGCCTTTTATTTTTTGCTTTATCTATGTCTTTAAGAATGGTAAAGGCGCGGTCTAAATTATTAACTATTGCTTCTACATGATTTAAATTATTTGCTGACCATTCTTTATTTATATGATCAATTAAGCGGTTTAGTTCTACAATTTTAAATTCAACTTTCTCACGCCTTTCAATATATTCTCTTTCATAGGTGTTTTCTTTTTCATGAGCATCCTGATTAGATGTACTAACTTGATGGATACATTTATGTACCCTCCGCCCGATTTGAAAATTACGCTTTCTATCCAATCAGCGTCTATTACGTCGAATTTACATGAACGATCAGTGTGTAATGTTAAAATTAAAAAATTAATTGTTTTTTTTAAAAAATCGCTCTTATCTTGAAATTTCGCTTATGAAACTAACTTCTGCGTTCTAGCAAAAAAAATTCCTTGCGAAATTTTAGTATAGTTTCTTTTTTAACGCTCTACACTTACCCTAACACTAACCCTAATACTAATTGACGGTATTTTTTTAAAAAAAAACAAATACACATCGAAATCATATAAACAATGACAATCATTTCCATTTTGGGCGGGAGTACATAGATGTATCCCTAACTTGATCATGCATATCTGAGCTTTCTAGATTTTCCAATATGTCTTCGTTTCCATTCCAGATCAAAAAAGGATAGTCTGTTTGCTGTTTAAAATTTAAATAAATTAATTGAATACTTTGTGAAGAGTTTTCTGCTTTTTTGGAGGCTTTATGGATCAAGTGTTTGCAGATGAGAAAGCGACTGTGAAGAAATGAAGGACAGCTGCAAATCCAGCATGTCAAATCAATATAGTAGCGTTCTTTAGCTTCATTAACTGGCTTTGCAAGAAGGTTTCTCCATTCTGCTTTAAAATCATCAAACCATGGTGGTGTTATTCTGCCAATTTGCAATTGCTGAAGTCTATTAACTTGATCAGGTAAGACACACGAACATATTACCCAAAGAAGATAGTCAAGACGTGGACGATTATATTGATAAAGGTAAGAATGCTTTAAGACTTTCCAATGGGCCTCAATCATATTATTTGTTTTAGCAAGTGGTATATCTTTTCGTATAGAGTGTGCCCAAAAACACTATCACGTTTCTTTATACCAAGCAGGCCACAAATATGACCAAAGAATTACGAGACTATTTGTAACGCAAAATTCATATATTTCACGAACTGATTTAGCTCTTATTTCTGTAGGTAATAAGAATTGTTCATCAACATTAACAGGGATCTTATGATGTATATTATAATGTTTTCAAATAAGATCTATGACAGTTCCTCACAGATTAGGTGGGCAAACAATATAGTATTCTTTATCCTCACGCTGTAAATTAGGTATAAAGGAGGAATCAACAAAAGGAAATTCTTTCATAACTTCTTGATGTTGATAATTTGTATGCCGAATTCGATTACAGCTTCTAAGTTTTTTTTTTGATTGCTTCTTCAAGATGCCACAGACACAGTTGTATATCACTATTTGGCCATACATTTTTTGCGGCATTTATCTGTGCAAAATCCTTATCCGTATAAAAGTAAGTTGGATTTAAACCTTTACTATAAATAGTATGAAAAAAGCTTGTGAGAGCTTCTGTTTGTAATTCTTCTTGAGCTTCATTGTTAGAGACCTTTGTTGTATCTAAAATGAGGTAACCCAATGGAAATCTCGTGCCCTCGACATTACCGACAAGTCCATAAAGTTCAAAACACCCCTTAGCCGTTTTATATATGGCATCACAATGTATTTCTATTATATTTTTTGTTAGGGCAAGTAAAGGTGTAGTAAAACCAATAGCTATTACATATTTTGTTTCAAGTTAAAACACAAGTCGCACCCACTTTTCTGTTGCCGTTCAAAAAATGCACGTGTGGAAACAACATGGTTCTTATCATATTTATAGAATTGCTGAGTGTCAGTAATATATTTGTTTTGAGGTAATGTATAATAGATCAAATTTTTTGCGAAGATATGATCGTAAATATGTTGGAGTCATCTCCAAATTTTCTTTTATTTCTTGCTTAACCTCTGATGGCACCACAATATCAATAGGTTTATTATGCATAAGATTGTGTTGTAATGTTACTTTTGCTTCTGCTGCTAATAAGTCTACTTTTATAGTTAACTTGCCTTTGCAATCAAACCGATCAATTCTTTTACGATTCGAATCCACATATTTACATTTAATCTCATTACTTTGTGAACATACGAAATAAGCATTGCCAACGCCCTAATAATGAACTGAAAGATTTGGAGCCGTTGTAGCACTACAATTGAATACATTAAGTATAAATTTTATTTATTCATTTATTATTACTTAACAAGTTATACTTACATCCAGTTATAGCTATCTCCTTCTTCGATTTCGTCAACAATCAATTTGGCCATTAGCTTAATGTTTATATCAGCAATACTAAGTGTATTTTCATCAAGTATAATGCAAAAATTAATAGGGTTTTCATTTTGCTCTATGCTATCAGTCATATAATCAGCAATTTCTTTAAAAGAAATTTTTTCCATAGGAATATCTTCAACATTAGCATTTTCAGCTCTCTTTTCGGCTCTCTTTTCTGCTTAGTAATCAAACATTTAGCACATGTTTTGTTGCTTTTACCGTCAAGCACAAAGGCATCAGAAGATAGCGCATGTGAACAAGAGGTGCAAAACATCATATTTATTAGATATCAGTTTAGTTTTTACTGGTGTTATAGCGTTACTAAATAATTTTATTAAGCGATAGAAAACTTTACTATTATTATAAGATAGAGATGAAGATGTTTGAGAGTAAGTATTTGATTTTTTTATGTATTGAATTTGTTAAAGCACTTATTTATTTATTTTCTCTTTGCGTCAATTAAACTTTTAATTAATTACGATATTTATTATGCTTACGGATACTATATTTTACTTTACTATTTTGTACGTCACTAAGTCCGTCATCACAATTAGATCATAGAAAGATCTAATTAGTTGGTGCAGCTCAATTCAAAGGGTCATTCTTTATACAGATCAGAATTTTCCATTATTTTGTATACAGCTAATGTAAAATTTAGTATTCATTTAATATGTAATATCTTATTTTTCAGAGAAATGAAGTGATTATTTGAATTAATTAGCCAATTATAAGGTACGGTCCACTAGTTTTGATATTTTGAAATTTGAATTTTTACTCAAATCACTTATACTTTAATTATTAAGGATTACTATCAAAATAAGCAAATGCGAATAATTTAAATAGGCTATTTACTGCTACATTTATGATTTTTGATAAAAAAGATAAAAATAAGAGATTCAAAAATCTGCAGATATGATAGAGTATATCACTGGCTGTCAGCAAAGGCAAGTGATTTTAATGAAATTTAGAAATGCTATTTGTTACGTATACGGGATTGGTGAATTGATAATTTGCTTTAAAAGTAAGCCATATACTAATTTTTTTTTATAATTTGAAAATTTTTATTTTAAATAATATTCTTTTCAATTTGTTCAATATTTCGGGAGTATAATTACCAATTATTAATCTATTTAAAGTTGATTCATAAAGGTTTTCTATATAATTTATTTAAAAAAAATACTTTCGCCCTTATGTAAATTGATTAGTTTAAAAATAAAATAATAATAATCATACTAGTAATTGTTTTAATATCTTATAAGTCTTCAAAATCTGAAATTAGTAACTGTTTAATAAGTGTAAAATTGGACATCTTTATTGTATTGTAGCTTATTCATTTGGCATAGCAATAACGATAATGGAATTTTTATTAAGGATCGAAATGCATGCATAATGTAGATCATAGATCAGAAGTCACGTGAACGGAAAATCAATCCTAAGCCCTAGTGTTGTCCTTTTTGTTTCTCAGTTATTCGTGCTAGTTCTTGCTGAAAAAATACTTGTCTTTCTTCATAGTTTCTTGATCATAGATTTGCTATTACTTGTTTTTGAAGCTCTCTTCTATCGATTTTTACTGAATATTCTATATGATTTGTTGTTTCTTTGTTGTTGCTAGTTTGCTTCACATGACTTGTTATTTTACAACTATTGTTGGTTGTTGTTGTTGTTTGTTTAGTACTGTTGTTTGTTTTCATCACGTGGTTTTTAACATGTTTCTTTTGTTTATTCTTCATTACGTATTGTGTTTTTGTATTACCAAAATAGATCTATGATTCAGGGTCAAGGCCAATCTCCTAAAATTTTCCAAAGTGCAAAAAAATATCAACGATTTTTCATGACTTCTTCTATTTCTTTGCTACTTCGAGTTTTTCCAACTCAAGTCTCTTAAGAGACTGAGTATTTCTTGTAGTACTCTTTCTTTTTACTTAGAGCTTTGAGTTAGGTTTCTTAATAGCTTTTGTGTATTTTTTATAGTTTTTAATTAATTTTGTTTTTCGAATTTTGTGTTTTGATGATTAGCAGAAAAAGTTAATATATAAAATTTTGTAAAGATAATGAAAAATATATATATCTCTTCTAGTCTATTTAATTTG